TGTATTCTGAACTCTGCTGCCTGCGTAGCTAGACCCTCATCACATACCCCATGCTAGGAAACGTGTGGGTAAAAGCTAAGATTCATGTCCCACATAAGTCACATGGAAAAGAAACAGCCTATGATTTTCCCAGGCAGGCACAGGAATCACACTTTCAATTCATGACGAAAGCTCCTCTGAAAGTCCCTCTATTGGGTAGCCAAGTCAAGTGTATGGTGCTAGATGAATGACTTCCATAAGTAAGCTGTCTTCCCATAAGCTTCCACAACCTGGAACTCATCAAAATTCGCACAGGGATAGTAACACGAGAGCAGAAATGGGTATTTCACATATACAGAAACCAAAACCGAATTATACAGGTTCAGTGTATGTTTGGGTTGTGCATGTTTGTCTTCAATCATGGCTTTTTTTTTGGGGGGGGGGTTATTTTAGGTAATTTTAGTACATGCAAATAGAGAAAAGAGCAAAAAAAAGATTAAATATTAACACTGCTGAGGCTACATAAAACACTGTGAGAAAAGATGAATCAAGTGTACAGTTAGATTATTTACACTTTCTCAAAGCTCCTTTTGGATAACTAGTATGGATCACATAGATCTTTCTTTCTTTCTTTCTTTTTTTTTTTCTTTTTTTTTTTTTTTTTTTGGCAGAATAGGGATTGAACTCAGGCCCTTGCACTTGCCAGGGAAGTGTTTATTCCACTGAGCCATCTCCCCAGCCCCACACATAGATCTTTCACTGTTTCCCTCCTTGTAATATTAGTTACAAAACCATATGCACTGTGAAAAGACTCCTAAACTTGGAAGCATAATATACCTGAGAAGTCACTCAAATTTCTAAGCCTTCCTTACAACAGATATAGTGACATCTTCACTTTTGCCACTTCATGAGATTAATATACAGTATAGATCTAAAGAAATAAGGTGTATGTGCTTTTTGAAAATAGTAAGTATTTGCAAAAATGTATCAGTATTATTTTGGCTTACTAAGATTTTACAGTTAGGGTCCCTCATCTGATGCAAGACTACCTCTGTATTTTTATAGCTTTTATACATATTATAGAGATGACAATAGAAACTCATACAGCACTACAAAAATGTTCTCCATAGAAAAATGTTACTGGCCTCTCTTAGCTTCATATCATGTAATAAAACATAATTTCTCAAATTTAACATGCATCAGGGATCTCGCTAATTCTAGATTTTGGTCCAGGAGGCTGTTGCAGGGCTCAGTACTCTGCATCTGTAACAAGCTGACTGTTGCTGTTCCACAAAATATATTGTTAGTGGTAGGGCACTAGGCCACTAAGGGTGTCACACTTAGTATAAAATACAGTCTCTCAGAGCCACAATATCTCTTTGTTTTTGAATGAGAGATTCTGAAAAGTTTAGTTTACTATATAAAGGGTTAATCTCCACAAAACCGTGATTTTCCTTACATAAGTATAAATGAATAATGTATCATGATGACCATTAGTAGTATTTACAATTAAGTTATATTCCAAAAAATACAGTAACATATGGCATAAGATATATGCAGAATGAGGTTCATTTTGTTCATACCCTTAGAAATGATTTAAATGCTCATAATGGAAAGATGAGAAAACTAACTGTGTTGTATCCCTGCCACTTTTATCCCATGCCATATATGGATCAGAGTTAGATCAAGACTTGGTTTATAATAAAGATGA